AAGTTATGCTTTGGTCAAAGTTCAGTTGACTTCTCGTAAGGGAAACCCTAATTCAGCAACGTTTGACTTTTGATGATTTGAGAGTTTTCCTTGATGAATCATGATCAACCATTGATAAAATGATGAATGTGACTTAAAAATATTGATGTTGACCAATAAACTTGAAGTTTGACTATATGTTGATCACAATTGACTTTTTGTCCAATACAGTTGATTTTCAGTCATTTGAGCCATTGACTGGGCAAACTTGTGATGCAAGGCTTGAAATTTGGCATGAGAATTCCTTGTGACATATGAGAAACCATGGGAACCACTTGAGGCCTTAGAAACCCAAAATTCCTTGAGAAATATGAAACCCTAGTTGTAAGTCCCTTGCTTAAGAGAAGAATTTGTCTGATCAATTCTTGAGCAACCTTGAGCATTTGAGAACCTTAGGAGAATGTCTTGATCTATGGAAGGATAAGGGAATTCTCTTGTGAACCACTCAGGGTCACACGTCCTATTGACGAAAGGAGCCATTGAAAGAGTGAAGTTGTAACGCTTAGTGAACATCATCACAAACGAAGTGAATAAGTCTAGAAGATACACTCATTCGTCACAAAGGGTTAAGCGAGCTAATCTCTTTCCTTCGATGGTCATGTTCTTTATAATATCAGCTTCATCATTAATGGTGTTATATGTTGGGAGTGATGGTTTGAATGTGGCATTCAACCATAGTTGAACTATCCATAAGGGTCCTGTAAAAAGAATGTTGTCCCCCATTTGATATTTCCCCAAGTAGACAGTAGCTCCTCTAAGGGATTCGTAGAGTGAACCCAAGATCATTTGGATAAGGCATAATATGTGCCCAATATTCAGTTGGTTCGCCATGATGAGAAACCCCTTCGCCACTTGAAGAGATCTCGAGCAAAATACGCAACACGAAAACCATAAGGCTAGAAAGGTGGTATGCTCTTCATCTGAGACCTCTTTGACATCTTGAATTTGGTGATCAATAATATATTGGGGTAGCCTTATCAACATTTATAGTATCTTTGTCCATTTTCATCAGATCGAAACTCTCCCCAGTTGGTCTAAGCTAGCAATGGCAACAACGTCGAAAATGGAGGGGGTCATCATTTCACAAGGGAAGTGAAAAGTATTGTGGGAAACATCCCAGAAATAGAGTGGAGCCACTATCATATTTTGGATATACTCTAAGTCAGATTTCGACAGCATTATTAAGTCGTAAATCTCCATATCTTTCCAAAATTGAGATTTCTTCTTCTCAATCTTATCCAACCAAGCATAATATACTTCGGGGTCCTTCACTAAAGGGGTAGCTCGAAACACTCTAAGAGCATTGGTCATGTAATCCATACTGATAGAATCAGGAATAGCCAAAGGGTCAGCCGAAGACTTCGCTTGGTTCTTTTCAGACGAAGGTGCAATTACAGAAATGGATTTACCTTTGTCATCAAGTATTTTATTTCTAGCAAAGGGCCTAGAACAATGATAAATGGGAGGAAAAAAAACTCTAAAAGAGTTGTAGCATTTGCACCAGGGTCAGGAAAGACTCGTGAATGCGTGTGTTTCTCTAGAAATGGTCAAGGATATAAGTACATGAGATTCATAAATTTTTGTCTTCTCTTCGAGAAGGGGGGGCTCTGGGACATATTCTTGGTTTCCTACTTGTGGAGATTTAGCAATTTAGACAATGGGTTGGGAAGTATCTTGTTGTTTTTGTTTGGAAGCTCTTGCTATTTTGGCGCCATTGTTGAGTTTTGAGGTTGATAGCTTGAAGATTGTTGGAGGTTGAAGAAGAAGTGTTGAGAAATGTTTCAATTTGGAAAAGCTTAGAGTGTGAAAGTGTTGAACGTTGAAGGTTGTTGGTATTTATAGAAAGACAACAAGTTGTTTCATATTGCATTTGAATGATGAATGCAAAGTGAGTGGGACACGTGAAATTCTCTGATGGGAGGAAAAACGGTTGCACAAGTTACCACCTTACTCCTAGTTTATAGGAGTAATCATCATTAGCAGCTACACACGTCTTGATGAGACGTTTTGGAAATTAGTCATTATGACCATGACATCACAACAATGTTGGCACTAGCGTCGAAAAAGTCTTTCAAAAAAATGTTATTTTCTAGAGTTATAGAAAAGAAATATTTTTGGGGGGCAATTTGTTAGGTGTAATTTTGACGCTCCAACGAATAGAGGTTCGAGGAGAATTCGAAAGACAAGTTTTGGGATGATAAAAGCTAATTTCAATATAAATTGATAGAAGACACATTTTCGACCGAGTCTACACGGACGAAGCAATGCAAGGAGGATGACCTAGCAAATTTTATGAAGATACTCAAAGCGGGTTCAACATATATTCAAATGAGGCTATAATTGATATTAGCGCTTATCTGATATTTGAAAAAGAGATATGTGAAAGTCTGTGAAAGGCTAAAGACATGCAAACAAGGACGTGTCATCCTCTAAGAAGACTGTTCATTACAGTTAGTTTCGAATTATTATATATAGGACTTTTTATGTTAAAATTTTATGTGTTCTCTTCTTTGTACAAATTACTCAAAATAACTCAAAGTACCAAGTGTTCGAGAAACGAGTTGCTGAGAATGTACGTAAGAAACACTAATTTTATATTCAATTTTATTCCTTTTCAATTGAAATCTTTTATATTTCCTTTAAGCTTAAGTCGAAATTGCTTTACATTCCAGTTTTTACTTTAAATCATTTTATTACTACTTTCAAAATAACAATCTCTATCGAAGAGATTGACACCCAGAAAACTTAAAAAACAAAATATACACTATCGTCCTAGGATAAATCGAGTTGATTCTATAAGAAACCAGAGTCTCTAAGATTCGGAAGACTAACACTTGTTTATCAAATTTCACGGTAAACAGTTTCCCACTGACTCTTACATTTTCCAGTCAAAAGGCCCTGGTTCATGTTCTTTAGGCTGCATAGTTTTGGGTTCTTCTGTTTTCTCTTGATTGGGTTGAGGGGGTTTAGACTGCCATTGTTTTTTTATCTTTAGCTTGCATTGATGCCCCACCTTTTGACATATCTCACAATAAATGGGTTTCCGTTCAAAATCCGCAGGTTAGGTTCTCTTGTTCCCTTCCTTGTCTCTGATAATAATGTGTTGTTTTTGTTTTTGAGTGACATCAATCTCCACCAATATGCGAGCATATGATACACACAATTTATTTTCTGTGTACTCATTAGTAAAAAGGGGTTGCCTAAAGCACTATTTATCTTTCCTAGACTTTTTACCCCCCAAAGGTAAATAGGTAGTTTAGACAACTTAACCCAAACATTTAAGATCCTTAGTATGTCTCTCTTGAAATCAAACTCAGGGCTCCATTCCCTAAGTATCATGGACATGTTTTGAATTGTGTAGGGTCCCCTCATAACAACCATATCTTTGTCTTTGTGGCATTAAAATTTAAGCAAAAAAAAATCCCTTATCATGATAATATATGTCCGGTAATTGCACAAAGTTTCAGAATTTCATCATATATTATTTAACCACATTCATACTAAGATCTTCCTAGTACATACATGATTAAGGCAGAGTCCCAAAATCTTACCTCAGATTCAATATCAGATTTCTCGTTTTCCATTTTAACTTCACCTTCCACAACGTTTGGAGCTACAAATTCGATTGTTGCTCCATTCGATGTAACTCTATTTCCGATGATGTCAACCCATAATTTCTTTGGAGGTTCTTCTTCTTCATCCGCAGATTTCTTCCCATTGTCTAAGGTGTTGATGTCTTGGTTCTTCACTTCATAACTATACCGAAATGGAATCTACCTCAATATTTGATCCTCCCTCAAAATCAGTTTTCCTTGTGCTCTGTTTAAAACTGTAACATTGGATATGGTACCTTTTTCTTCGGCCTCCCTCGCTCTCAACCCATAGTCTAACTGGGAGAAAACCAGCTCAGATCTCCCCAACCATGTCCCTAATTCTAAGATTAAGAGTTTAAATCATCTTGATGGAACTTTCACTAGTGAAAACACGCCCTATTTGTCTAAACAAAACCCTACCAAAAATCATTTTTTAATTGTTGCATCATTGCTGCTCTTATGGTTTATGAAATTGTTGTTGACATAGATACATTTATTTTTAGTCCTAATATTTTTCTCATTTCTACAACATTGCTACTACTACTATTCTATTCATTTGTACTAAATTTTTTTGAAAGAAGAATAATTTCATTACAAATATAGATTGTTTTAAAAAAATGATTTTTTATTTTTAAAAAATGATATTTATTTTCAAAAACATATAGATTTTGAAAAATTGAATAACTTTTTTTGTTGCAAACATGTGGCATGTGACATTGTTATTTTTTTGAGGTAACGTAATGACAAAGATAACTTGTATGGATGAAACAGAGAAAGGAAGAAAAGAAAACAAGCTAGTGTTTATTTATATGTACATGTACATTTTACAACAGTTTGAAACATGTCTATTTGTAAGAAGTATCCAAATGTTCTTCTCTTCAGCAGCACAAGTTTGGAAACTTCAGCAAATGTAGGCACTTGCACACCACTAAATTGATATCCAAACTAGAGATCCATCCTTTGGATGGCACAGCATATCACCAAAGTTTTATCTCTAAATTTCATGTAGTAAAGCTTCGATCTCAATGAAATCATCGAGATCAGCTAACCAGACATCATTTTATTAACGCAGGCCCAAACACTTGAAAAAGATAGTCAAATAATTTATACACAAACAATCTTTGACACTTCTACCAGCATCAATATTGCAGAATAATTGATGTCAGGCTGGAAGAGCACAGCTTCTCCTCCAACTTTGTAGGATTACCACTTCATTTGGCTGTTACATACAGTAAGACTAACATAACCCAACTGTCCAAATTGTCTCATATCATTGCTTCTATAGCTGCATCCCATATCTACATGAAGAATATCCTACAAATGGACCATTGTCTAAAACACCCCACGTAATGAATTATTTAGTACTTTCTAATCAAAGTTTCCAGGAATGTCAATATCTGTATCTGAAGGATTAGACATTCCTGTATCTGAAGGATTAGACATTCCTGTATCTGAAGGATTAGAAAGTTCAACCAGGGGTTCCTGTAGGTCATATGAGCCTCATGTAAGAAGCAACTCAAATGCATCATATAGAAAATCATGCCAGTTTATCTACACAACCTTTGCGTTTCAAATATAACGGAAGCTCCATTTCAAGTTTCATTGGCAAAGTTCAAGTGGGACTACTTGAACACAGATGTAGCACCGGTATAGTTGTGTGAGTTGTGAATACGAGTCATTTAGATAAACATTATAAAACAAGCTACTTGATAGGAATACCTGCTCATCATCATTTTCCGAAGAATGATCTATCACCGACGGCAGTGTGCTTGCTAAGTCTTCTACAGATACAGGTAATTCCTGAACAAATACCCATTTGGCAAGTATTATAAACAATTCATAGAAGTTTTGATTTTATCAATACCCAATAAAAGGTGCCTGAACACCCCAAATTGAATTAATCGAATAAAGAAAGAAAAAAGGAAGGAAGGAATCAAAACTACCTCATCACTTGGATTAAATGCATCATTATTCAAACCTTCAGCAGCAATGGCCTTGGAAGGATGATCTTCAGAAATACCCTGAACGCACCATAAAAGTTTTATGCAAATAGAACTAAAATTGATGATCTAAGAAAAAATTTGCAATATGTGAAAGAGTTTTACTTGTTCATTTCTGATGACAGACAATTCCCCTTCAAGAACAGTAGGCTTGACATCAACAGGACGATCCTGCGAATTTCAATCAAGTTGATAGGGTGTTTAAGTACTGTGATATAATTAAACTGATCTAACAATTTGAGCCCCAAAGACATTCAGGTAAGGCTGTTCAAAAATGAATTAATGTTAGAAATAATTTAAACCCAAGTCTTATACTAAACTTGGTTACAATGATTAATAATAAAATCTTCCATAAAGAACTACAAGAAATTTATTTTGATGGCAATAAGAAGTGTTTCCTTCTCTTTGTGATAATCAAAAGCATAAACATGCAATTTGTTAATTTGTTCCATTTTCACGAAAGTTTAATTGAAAATGTTTATAAAAGGCATTTAATGTTGTTACGAACATATTGTTTGAAAATATGAGTTAAAATTGTAAATACATGTCAGAATTGTGTTATTAAATGAGAGTGAATGAATTGCAGTTCGCTAGCACGTCAATAACTTGACTTGCAACTAAGAATCTAAGATGCTTATCATATCCCCTTCCAACTTGTATTCTCCTCCGTTATCTCTATTCTCTATTAAATTTTATTTTCCCATCAACAGTATAATATTATGTTTCCTTTCCTGTCCAAAAGCACCCGAGTAAGCAACAGCAAACCCAACAGTTTATAATGAATCCATCACCAAAACCATTAGATTTCAAACTGATTATTAAAATGTTTGCATAGCTTATCCCACTTAGCATTTGCAATTGGCTTACAAACAGGAAATAAATCTCAATAAAACAGTAAATGCTCCAATTTACATACCAGACCACTTTGCGCAACAGAAAGACTCCTTCCACCCTTACTGAGATCTCTGAGTGTTCCCTGTCAGAGTTAAGAAACAGGTTTAGAAAAGAGGAATATATTTGCAAAGTAAAAAGGAAGCATATATAATGTGACCAACATAACATCTAGTCTGAATACAGCATTTAATTTGCCACTGCTAAGATGCAAGGGCATTAACTATAAAGCTCCAGGAAGTTTCCATACCAGCGGGACCATTTCTCCCAACGGAAAATTTTAGAATTTGGGTTGGACCTTATAGAATAAAATATTTCTTGGGCTGTTGAAAAGGTTAAAAACAACTATTTATATACAGGAGAGATATAATCTAAATATGAATGCAATGATATCATAATCCCAAAGATACTATTAAATCAATTATAATAAATATCAATATTTTAACATTCCTCTTCAGGGTAAGTTATCTGAGGGCTTCGAAGAGATTTAGTAAAAATATCAGCCCGATGATCCTAGAATTGACAGAGGAGATTCTAATGACTCCAGAGAGAATATTTTCTCTAATAAAATGACAATCAAATTCTATATACTTTGTTCTCTCATAAACACTAGATTGGAGGAGAGCATGTAAAGTTGAATGATTATCGCACACAAGTTCCATTTGACCAACCCGGAAGTAAGATTGCTATTTTAGTAGTGTAAGTTGATGACATTATTATGACAGGAGATGATGTCAAAGAAGTCATTAATTTAAATAGAAGAACTGAAGCTGAGTTCGACATCAAGGACCTTGGAAAATTAAAATACTTTCATGGGAAGGAGTTTGCAAGATCTAAAGAAGGAATTTTTCTCAATCAATGGATCCCAATGCGAAGCTAAGGGCAGCAACTGTAAAGAAATAATAAATAGAGAACACTACCAATGATTGTTTTCAAAATATTGAGATATTAGAAAGGAACTCCGGGAAAAGGACTGATGTTCAAAAATAGAGGACCTGTACAGGTTGAAGCTTATCCAGATGCTGATTGAACAGCTGATGTAAATGATAGAAGATCGACTTCAGGGTATTGTACCTTTGTAGGTGGAAACTTAGTTACATGAACGAGCAAAAAACTAAATGTTGTAGCAAAGAGCAACGCAGAAGCTGAATTCCGATCTGTAGCCATGGGTTTTGTGAAGTCTTATGGATTAAAAGATTCATGGAAGAATTGAAGATTTCTAGCTCAACTCCAATCAAAGTTACTGCAATAACAAGGCAGTTATTTATATTGCTCATAATCCCTGTCATACATGACCGAACGAAACATGTTGAAGTGGACAAGCACTTCATTAAAGAAAAATTCGACAATGGTAAGATTTGCATGTCCTCACAAAGAATCTTCCAAAGAAACAGTTGATGACATGGTTTGCAAGCTTGCTATGAATGACATATCAGCACATAAATCAAACTGCTGCAGAATAATAAAACTAATGCTGTTTCACAGTTCATTAAAACCGGGTGTAAATAGTAATTAATTGTAATTATTTCTAATCAGCATTAATAGGGAGAATAATTACCCACTATTATCTGCTGATTGTGCTCTAACTGTCACTCGTATCCTATAAATACCCCTTTATGTATTGTTTTACAAATATATACACACTTACAAAAAAAAAAACAGCAATAGCAGCAAATAAAACTTAGAAAACAGAATTCATAAAACTTAGAGAACAGAATTATAGAGAAAACTAGAATTCGTATCACAAGCTCTCCAAAATAGACCTAAAATAGGGAGCGTGTCACGAGTAATTGGGAGGATTACAAGTAGAATAAAAAAGACACAGTAGAAGAGAACACAAAAGAGAGTAATGGGAATGAATAAACAAGAAATAAAATAAAAAAGAAACAAAACAAATAAGGAAGTAAAGAAGAAAAAAGAAAAACCTAAAGAAGAGTACCCGGATAAAAGCTGAGTTAGGACGAGAAGACGACACTGGGAAAAGAAGAAAAGAATTGGTGAAGAATGGAAAAGGTTGTAGTGTGTTTGTATTTTATGAGGGTTATTACTTATTAGTATTTAATCGAAGTTTTAATTCTTTTGGGCTAGTTTACTAGTCGGGTAAAAAATACCAAGACAGGGATTTGCAAATTTTTTAAATAAAAAGAAATCAATATGCGCCATATCACTATGAACTATAATTTGTGGCGGTCGCCATGGCGCTGCAATGCTAAATCCCTAACGCCACAGATTTTCCATGGCGCTATGTTGAATTTCAGCAACCGCAATCCGCCAGAGCCATGACCGCAATTGGACAACATTGTTAACAGACTTAACTCAACCCTAAACTCTAAACCCTAAACCACCATGTATCCAATTATATCATCTTTTTGTTTTAAATTTTTTTAATCACATGGCAGACTGCTTGTTTTCTATTGGATGACAGTGTAAAACTATTTTACACTGTCAGTGCATATCCATTAAACCCAATGAAAAAACTTGTTCTTTTTTTTGGATTAACACAAGCATCATCAGACCATATGCAGCCAACTCCAGCTACTGGAAAATAATTGCGTTGCTGTTGTTTGTACTTCAAACGAAGTACAAAAGTTGAGACAAGCATTTCATCAACAACCATACTTGTTAGTAAAAGACTAACCTTGTTGGCCCACATGAGCCCGCATGCATTACATAAAGTTCTTGGTCCATCTGGGCCGCGACGCATTGCAGGAGTACTGTTTTCATCGACTCCACAATGTTTACATCTACGCCTATAAGACAAGAACAGAAGGATTTGAATAAAACTATGTGCATTCACAAATCTTTCTCTCCCTCACACTCACACCCACAAAAGAACCAATATGTTAAAAACTCACAGAGTTTCAGGATTAGGAGTGCCATCTTGACCAGCACCCTGTGCAGAATACCAATTAGAGGAACCAGGGCTTGGCTTCACGGATGCAAACTGTCCCTTCTCTCGATGCATCCTAAGAGAACCAAAAGATAACCAAAGTTATAAGTAGAAATGAACACTTAAACTTCAAAAACAAATTAAAATCAAACAAAACCTAAAAAGGAGGGAGTAATATTATTGAACTTCAAAACGTCAAAATGCAATAAGCTACTATCAAACAACAATGAATAATTATGTCTCTCCCTCCTCACTTTAGTTGTTAAGAAATCTCCTAACTGCTCCGCCTCTACCCAATATTAAGTCAGATATAAGATTTCACAGTGTGAATGTGATAATTCAATATAAAAACAAATTTATTCAGACCCAACATGAAACCTTTTCCATTCATAATTCTATATATGACAATCAAGTTCCGTTGCCGCGTACAGAATAGTTTTTTAAAGCTAAGATATTTTCTAGAGTATAAATTGTAGATCTAGAAATAAGTTATTTCGTTTATGGGGTAATAGGGCAAAATACAAAAATTCCATTTACCTTTCTGCCACCTCTTTTCTCACAGTGTATCTAATTTTCTTGTCAAAACATCTTTCCTTGCGTTTTTCACGGAACCTGACCAAGGAGGCTATCCTTCGTGAAAGATTTGGACGCCTTGTAATATCACTCATGCCCTATAGATTGCAAGATCCAATGCACAAAGCAAGCATAAAAATACAACACAAGTTACAAAAATGCTCTTGCTAAGTCAATATGTGTTTTACCCTATAACTTTGATCAAACGGAAGTTCATCAGTAGTCATGCCTGGCGGCGTATCGCGACCTCCCAAAAGCAGCAAAACAGCTTGAACCTGCAATGTAAAACTTCATCAGCAAACATTCCTGAATAAAAAATATTTCAATGATGGTCCTTTTGACGAATCAAAAGTAAATATCAAATTCAAATGTAATTTAATTCCACATGCTACATAGGTTTTTCTTTCTTCCATTCTATCAATCTGCTATTAGTGATCAGAAATTTGAATAATAACAATTATGACTATAAGTGATGAACAATAATTACCTTCTGAGGTGTGACAGCGGGAAAGACGTAAACCTCACCCTCGAAAGAAAGAGTGAGCTCACCAGTACGGGTTACAGGCAAAACGACGCCGTTGTGATTCGCAGTAGCTGAAGCGTTCACTGAATTGACGAGCGTCTCGTCCTCCAATTCATCCATGGTATCATCGCCGCCGGTGTAGTCGTCGTCGTCGTCGACAACCGGAATTGCGTGATCCTCGAACGGGAGAGGTTGTTCCGCCATGAGCTTCGCCGCTTAGAAACCCTAATTTGGAAGAGTGAAAGGTTGATCGAACACGAAAATGAAATTGGAAAGTTCGAGAAGATTGTTATAGAGAAAAATGAAGATCGGTGGAGTAACGAGTAAGTGAAGGCAGTTAACACGATAGTGAAATTTTGACTGACGGCGTCAGCGTGTCGTGAATCAGTTTTGTTTCTTTACTTTCCTTCACTTTTTTTACGGTTCCTTGTTCGTGCACGAGACACAAATGTTCTTTACGGTTTCTTGCTCTTCATGCATGATAAAGAAATGTTTTTTTACAAGAGGAAAAATGCTAAAACTCACTATTTGGATGGTTATCAAAATTTGATCTAAAGAAAGTTTATGAAAGGTTAAAATGGAGTTTCATTAAATATATTTGTTGCATAAGTTAATAAATATTACTCTTAAGGGCATTTCACATTCTATAATCACCTAGTACATAAGAGGTTTCATTGGGATGAAGAGACATTTGATGAATTAAGTTTTTAGGATAAGAGTGAAATTAAATGTCAATTAGGCAAGAATAAATACAGAAAATTTATTATCTCATTCATTTACAAGAGAATCATCAGGCATAAATTCTAAGTTTTCATTGATATGGTGAATCAACCGCTTATACATGCAAATCAAAATTTATTTTCTTTGTATGAAAACTTATATTTGACAAACAGTCATTCAAGCACACATTAATTTATGTCACTACTAAAAAAAGACATTTGAGAAAAGATTTTTACATCAGATATCAAAATATATGATGTAAAAAATATCATTAAAAACATTTTACATCAGGTATTTATTTGCAATGATATAAAAAATAAGAAAAAAATATTTTTTGCTATCTATTACATCGGGCAATCTCATCCACCGATGTAAAAGGTTTTCAGAAAAAAATACGGTGGCATTTTTGTAAATAAGAAACAAGGTGGCAGAAATGTAAATAAAAAACAAACAAGATATTACATCGGGTAACTAAAAACCGATGTAAAAGGTTCACAGGCAGATTCTTAATATATAAAATATATTAAAAAACTTACATCGGGACATATTTTAAACCAATGTAAAAAACTCATAAAAACACGCTTGCATCGGGCCAACTACCAACCGATGTAAAAAACATCATAAAAACACGCTTGCATCGGGCTTGTGTTTCCACCGATGTAAAAACTGCAACGTACCAAACCATTACATCGGTCCTTTGTTTCCACTGATGTAAAAAGGTGTAACACGCTTGCATCGGGCCTTTTTCCATCGATGTAAAAACTGCAAAGGCCCAAACCCTTACATTGGTCCTTTGTTTCCATCGATGTAAAAGGTTATATATATTATTCAGTTTATTTTCTAAATGCACATTATTTCCAATGTACAACTTCCTTTCACGCATACGCCGCCCCTGTTCATGCATACACCTCACTGTACAACTTCCTCCTCGCCGCCGTTTCACGTCTCCTCGTCGCCGTTCACGACTCCTCTCCGTCGATTCACGCCCTTCACGACTCCTCGTCGGCCGATTCACGCCCTTCACGACTCCTCGTCGGCCGTTTCAACTGTAAGTCACATTCTTCACTTATTTGATCTGTAATGTGACTTATTCAAAATTAGATAGGTTAGGTTTGCTAGTTAGTCATGATTCCTACTTAAATTTATTACAGAGAAATGAATGATGTTACATCCTTCTTCTTTTCTCTTAAACCATCCTCCTTTGTAATTAAAAGGGGACTCTCCATTTATTTGCAAGAATAAATAATGCTCCCTCTTTGTAATTAAACCAGCCAGTTTATCTATTTGCATGAATTATAAGAGATACTCAAGTCTTTGCGATGATGTTGTCGAATCTTAAAGAGATAACACAGAAAAACCTGAATGCGACTGTTGTTGATTGCTGCATTGGGATTCCGATTTATTTTACTGATCTTCAGAGGAAAGCTGTCTTGGATGCAGCTGCTATTGCTAGTTTGCATCCGCTTCATTTGATTCATGAAACGACGGCAACTGCTTTGGCTTATGGAATTTATAAGATTGGTCTTCCTGAGAATGATCAATTGAATGTTGCTTTTGTTGATGTTGGTCATGCTAGTATGCAAGTTTGTATTGCTGGATTTAAAAAGGGGCAGTTGAAAGTATTGTCTCATTCGTACGATAGGTCCCTGGGTGGTAGGGATTTTGATGAGGCTTTGTTCCATCATTTTGCTGCTAAGTTTAAGGAGGAGTACAAGATTGATGTTTATCAGAATGCCAGGGCTTCTCTGAGGTTGAGGACTGCATGTGAGAAGCTGAAGAAAGTTCTCAGTGCAAATCCTGAGGCACCTTTGAACATTGAATGCTTAATGGAAGAGAAGGATGTTAGGGGATATATCAAGCGTGATGACGTTGAGCAGCTATCTCTTCCAATATTGGAACGTGTGAAGGGGCCTTTGGAGAAGGCACTAGCAGAAGCTGGTCTTACAGTTGATAACATCCACATGGTTGAGGTAGTTGGTTCTGGTTCTCGTGTAGCAGCAATTAACAAAATATTGACAAGTGTTGTGTTGGTATGATTGTGAAGTTGTAAGGCAGCAAGATTGGGTATAAGACCTTGGAGAACCGGCTGGTGCAAATTTTTGTTTGAAAATGAGTGATTAGCATTATTCCTCTTTGAGTTTATATTTAGAGTATGTTAGATTGTAAGAAGAGATTGAAAAGAGAGAAATAGTGGAAGGGAGTATCTAAATTTTTATAAATAATTAATATTCTAATTATGTTACCAAATAGTTGTTCAACGATATTTGGTTTAAAACCAATGTTTTGCCAAATTTTGCTTATCAATTCGTTGTTATAGTCTCATTACTATTACTATACTATTATATATTACACTTTGTTACTCGTGTATTTTATACTTTGTTCCATTCTTGTTACTATTATTATACTATTATATTGGGATTCTCCTATTTTTATGCTCACCAAATAAAAGAAGTGGAAAATTTAGAAACCTCCGAAAAAAGCGTTAATGGTCCTCTCAGAAACACACTGTTTATCTTTAACCTATCAAACTTAATAGAGTTATCACCTTGCCATTGAAATTTGATTCTATTTTTCTTTCTCCGCGAAGCAGCGCAACTTGCAATCTCGGAATCTCCGTGAAGTAGCGCAGCCGCGGGGCACACTGTTCGTCAGACCTTCCTCCGTGTGAACATAGTTATGGATCGTAGTTGGATGAGAGCTAATCGATTAAGTGACGAGTACGAACATGGAGTGATAAAATTTCTACAGTTTGCTGAAAGTAATGCTGAAAAAAGTCTTCCTACGCTTTTTCTCTGTCCATGTGTTCGTTGTGCAAATAAAGAACCAAAACGTAGTAAGAAAGAAATCATGGATCATCTAATTTGTGTAGGGATTTGTCAAAGTTATACAAAATGGATATGGCATGGTGAAGTAGTAGTAAAGTCAAACGTGTCTCAAAAAGATGATGTTAGTGTAGAAATGGATGATCGTCTAGAAGACATGATGCGTGATATTGGACAAGATTCGTTTAAGAGGGCACATACGTATGATACTATATGCAGTGACAAGGATAAACCATTGTACCCGGGATGCAAAAAAATTACACGTATGTCAGCCGTGTTAAAATTATTTAATCTGAAGGCAAGAATGGGTGGACTGACAAAAGTTTTACCGAGTTGCTTGAATTGTTGACCGAAATGCTTCCAGAAGGTAATGTAATGCCAAGTCGTTATTACGAGTTGAAGAAAATATTGTGTCTGATGGATTTGGAGTATGAAAAGATACATGCATGCCCTAATGATTGCATATTATACAGAAAAGAGTATGTAAACTATAATCATTGTCTGAAGTGCAAGGCTTCACGCTACAAAAAGAAAGATGGTGAATCAATTGATGATGAGGTGGTCAAAAGGGTCCTCCTGCGAAAGTGGTATGGTACCTACCAATAATTTCAAGGTTCAAGAGATTATTCGCCAATGCAGATGACGCAAAGAATCTTATATGGCATGCAGAAGAAAGAAAATATGATGGACAAATTCGTCATGTAGCTGATTCTTTGCAATGGAAGAAAATAGATTCTTTGTTTCCAAATTTTGGCAAAGAGTCGAGAAACCTTAGACTTGGACTTGCTACTGATGGAATGAATCTGTTTAGTAATCTGAGTACTAACCATAGTTCTTGGCCTGTTCTCCTGATGATTTACAACCTATCTTCTAGGCTGTGCATGAAGCGTAAATATATTATGTTATCGATGATGATATCGGGCCCAAAACAACCAGGAAATGACATAGACGTTTATCTAAGTCCACTGATTGATGATTTAAGAGTGTTGTGGGAGGAAGGGGTGGATGTTTTTGATGCGTATTCTGGCAAACAGTTCAATATGCATGCCATGTTGTTTTGCACCATCAACGATTTTCCGACATATGGTAATTTGTCTGGGTATAAAGTTAAAGGGCATAATGTGTGTCCTATATGTGAAAAAGACACTTGTTACCATCAGCTTGAAAAAGGAAAGAAGACTGTTTATCTCGGGCATCAAAAATTTCTAAAATGTTATCATCCATATCGTAGATTGCGGAAAGATTTCAATGGGGAACAAGAGCATGGTGTTGCTCCAAAGCCCTTGTCTGGAGAGGAAGTTTATCAGCGACAACAGGGACTTGATATTGTCTTTGGAAAGTACCAAAAATGATCTACTGTGAAAAATGTATGGAAAAAGAGATCGATTTTCTTCGATCTTCCATATTGGTCTAGTCTTGATGTAAGACATTGTATTGATGTGATGCACGTGGAGAAAAATGTATGCGATAGTGTAATCGGAACACTTCTCAACATTCAAGGCAAGACAAAAGATGGTATTAATGCTCGTCTGGATTTGGGTTTGATGGGTATACGAGAAGAGTTAACTCCACAATATATAGGTAACAAGACATATTTGCCTCCTGCCTGCTACACTTTGTCTAAAAAAGAGAAAACAAGTTTTTGTAAGTGTTTACAAAGTA